CAACTTTGCACCCAATTCAGCCATGCATGCTCCACTTACACACAAACACACACGTGTATTAAGGTTTTTTACTACTACTTTTTTGAGGGCTGAGGGAGTTTCAGAGAAGAGGATCGTCCCCATCAATTCTAAGCAATCCTTATATATACAAAAGGATCTTTGGAGACTGCATCCACACTGCGAAATAATCTGGTTTGACATCACTTTCACAGTGCCATAGGTCCCTGCTACGGAATGCTGGGAATTGCAGTGTGTGTCGCACCAAAGTGGAAATAGGTTGAGGAAACAAGACTAAAGAGGTTAAAGAAGTGGAGGAAGCTCGAAGCAATAAAAGAAGACAAAGAAAATGGTTTGTGTTGTGTGCCTTCATGTCGTTTCTGACTTATGGCAACCCTAAAGCGAACCTATCACAGGGTTTTCTTGGCAAGACTGGTTCAGAGTGGGTTTGCTATTGCCTTCCCCTGAAGCTGAGAGAGTGTGACTTGCCCAAGGTCACCCCATCTATGCCTAAAGCCTGTGCTTAAGTCTCTACTAGAGTGGACCCATTGAATCAATGGGATTTACCTGGGTTTTGTGGTGCTGTGTGTTGCTTCCAAGTCATTTTTTACTTATGCTGACCCTAAGTCGAAACTGGCATGGGGTTTTCTTAGCAAGTTTCTTCAGAGAGGGTTTACCATTGATGTCCTCTGAGGCTGAGAGAGTGTGACTTGTCCAGCGGGTTCTTATGCTTGAGTTGACTCAACAATATGGATTGAATGGGATGATTCTACCGAAAGCCTGCCATCATGGCTGCATCCACACTGCAGAGATAATCCAGTATGACGCCACTTAAACAGCCATGGTTTAAGGCTATGGAATTCTGGGAATGGTAGTTTTTTGAAGCACCAGTGTCAAATAAATACTTTAATTGGAGCTTGGTCTGTTTCAGTGTCTTCCCTAGCCAGAATTCTTACTTCTCCCGTAGACAATTGGATAAGGTCCTAGAAGCGAAGTTGGGCGCTTCCCTCTCTCATTTGAGCTAATTATAAATTCCCCAAAATTAGGTCTTGGCTTCCCAACATGTGGCAATTAAAAGTGGTGTCAAATCGGATTATTTCTGCAGTGTGGATGCAACCCACATGTAAATAAGGATGCTGATCAGAAGCTGTGGTGCCTGCGCCCCTCAGATGGTTAAAAATCTGCTTTAATCGGGATTGTTTAATACTTTTTATTGTGTATTAAGTCCCAATTCCTAAAACAAACATTAATAATAATAATAATAATAATAATAATAATAATAATAATAATAATAATAATAATAAGCCTTCATGTTTTCAAATGTGCTGGAACTTTGCTAACGCAGCCCAAGGCTTCTTATTGCTCTTGTACTTGTAATAGAAAGCCGGTGCCAGCGGCTCGGCCATGGAAACGCACTGGGGTGACCTTGGGTGAGTCACACTCTCTCAGCCTCAGAGGAAGGCAACAGAAGATGCCCTGTGAAGAAACTAGCCAAGAAAAAACCCATGATATGGTTGCCATAAGTTGGAAACAGCAAAGTACAAAGAAGCAGTGGCAGCAAAGGGGGACTGAATAGAAAGATGGATGACTCTGGGCCTGAACAGACTGCATGAAATAATCCATCTTGAGACCACTTTAACTGCCCTGGCTCAATGTTAG